ATAATAAAGGTAACACTTATTTAATAATAAATACAGCAATTACATTAGAAAGTTTAAAACTCTATGAAGAAGCTCTAAAACATTATGATTATGCAATTTAAAAATCCTGATGATGCTGATATATTTAATAATAAAGGTTAAATTGGTTTAATCATAAAATATAGCAATGCTACTGTTTGCTTTACATCTATTTGAAGAAGCTTTATAATTCTATGATTATGCAATTTAAAAAAATCCTGATGATGCTGATAAATTTTATAATAAAGGTAAATGGTTAATAGTAAAATATAGCAACTTTATTAAATACTTTAAATCGATTTGAAGAAGCTTTAGAATTTAATGATCATGCATTATAAAAAAATCCTGATGATGCAAAAATATTTCATAAATTTCGATATTCCATAGCCTAACCTATTTTTAAGCTTAATATTTGTCTTTCTACTTAACTTGGTGAACTTAATAATTTTAACTATACGCTCGTTATCTAGCAACATTTGTTTTAGCTATTTCTATACTATTTTCCAGTTTACCTTTAAATTCTGCATGCTCAGCTTTTCTTTCAATCCTGGTTCTTTTTTCTAAATAATCATCATCCTTAATTTCTACTGTATCTATAACAAATTTAGATCTTATATTGGCAACATGCTTGCTAGCATTCCACCTATATATTGCTCTAAATCTTCATATGCAGTAATACGATACTTGTCTTTATTACTAAAGTTCTTTTGAAATGCAATATCTTTTATCGACTGCTCTAATAACATCAAATTATATTTTAATTCACTTCTTTTTCAATTCAATATAAATTTTTTTTTAAATCTTCTAACAATATATTAGATATGATGAATATGAAAAATATTTAGATAAATCTGATTTAAGTGACTGTATTAAACGATTAAAAAGTTCCCCCCTAATCTATTTATTTAATTGGTATTTTTTAATAATCAAAGCAAATAAAAATTCTTAATAAGCAAAATAGCCAATGTAGATAGTTTAATTAAGTACTTAGAAGTTTAAATAGATACCAGATAGTTTCATATAAAAGTAATGACAAAGATTTTCGAGTTTTTCAGATGCTCGAAGAATTGAAGGATTATACTTTGTTCAATATACACAAAGCAGATCTTATAATGAATTTTACAGTGGCTTTAGATAAGGCGAATGCATTTATAACAAAAGGTTAAAACCTCAGACAAGTTCATGCCAATCATATATATTGAGGATACAAGTATTGCACAAAGTTGAAAGTGTAATAAAACTAAGGTATATGATATATTTGCAGCTTGCACACTAATATTTACAATGCTGAAATGGAAGAAACATAACTGTTTATTAATAAAATAAAATTAATAGATCTCAGCCTATGAAATAGTAATTGCTATATATTATAGGAAAATAAATGAAATTTCTAATGACAATGCGGGTGGCATTAGATTAAAAGTGATTATAGAGAGTTATCCAAAACAAAATTGGGATGAGTTAATAGGGAACAAAGCTGTAAAATATGCAAAACAAACAATAAATATTTTGGAATCAGGTAAATCAAGAAATAATCATGATTTATCTAAATCTATTGATACATTTCTTTCAGATCTTTTGTAGTATACAAGGGTATACAAGTTTGCTTGTCGCAGAAAATATCTATTATAATAAATACAAAATTAATTAGTTCCTTATATGAGTCTAAGTTACTCTATCATAAAGCTACAAGCAATAAGACATAAGTTACTAAAAAGACTTATAGAAATTTGAAATAGATCAGTAAATCAAGGCTAAGTAATATCGATAGTAGATTCATTATTGTAAATTATTTAATTAAGAGATTAGGGGACAAGATAAGAAATGCTTAGAATTGAGTATGAAAGAATCCATAATATTAAACGTATGTCTGATAATACGAATGGTGATTTATCAAGATAATGTATTAGAAAATTCGATTGTGATACTCAAGAAAAATCCCAAGAACATTTAGATGTGAGAGATATCTAAAGGAAAAATAGATCTCGTTGATCTATTTTTTCTATGTGAAGATATGGATTTATATTTTTATAATCCACACTCACAATCTGATATTAAAATTTTTAATTCCAATGAATTTCAGGAATAATC